TAATATGTTGAACTCATTTAATTTTGCATGATTTGTTGAATCTATTTATGGTATGCCTTCATGGTTGAGGATCACAAGATGATACCCCCATTTTATGGTTTTCATGGTATCCTCATTTTGTTATTTTCTTGGTTTTACACTCATTTGTTAGTATGATACAACCCCATTTTATTTTCACGGATATGATAATAACATACAAAATCTACAATAAATTTTAGGTACGTGGATATGATAACACCATCTTATGCTTTTCATGGTTTTACATTCATTTTTTAATATGATAATCCCATTCTATACTTTCTATTTCTCTACATTCAATTTTAATATGATTCTGATTGTCTGCTTATTCTTTCTTGCTTGGCATGGGAAGTTGTTGGCTTCTTCTTTCAGTTTCTTCAACCATGCCTGAGGATTTTGAATTAAGACAAACTATAGATGAGATTGATAATTGATGATTTCACGGTTGTAAAAGAGGTGAAGAAAGTTTGATGGACTTGAGGAGCTTGCGATGGGACATTTTATACTTTTGAAGACATAGCATAGTACAAAGAAATATGCCAGCTAATGATGATGTTGGTCTTGATGTCAGTGGAGGGTTAGACACTTTAAATGTGTTTTGTTTGATATATTGAGCTGTAGTCCGGTTGGTCATGTTACATTGTTTTAGGAATTTTCTCAGGTTAGTGACCATTTATTAGGATATCAAACACTAATTTTTTTTATCAGCAATTGAGGTATATCAAAAACTAATTAAGGTTTCTTTCATGGGTTGAGTGACAGTTTTAGTGAGGGTTTTTTACTTTCTATCAAAACTAAAATGCCCTCAGTTACTTTCACTATGCAGACATTGTTTCCCTGCCTCTATCTCCATTTTTTCCACCATGGGTTTTTTTCTGTGTCTGACCTCTTCCCTCTCCTATTCCCCACTTTAATAGCTTTCTGGCATATTCTTATTTTTTAACCGACCACACAATCAATTTTCAAACTAGCATATGACAAAAAGTGGCAGGATTAGCATGTTCTTGCAAACAAAATGAAAATCTATACTATAGTAATAGGACTAACATGTTTTTATTTCCAAGTCATAATGTAGAATCATTTCAATTAAAATCACAACAAAATAGAAAACTCTTGTGCACTCCATCTAAATCACAAGCAAAATTAGCACTGACATAGATGTACTCTCATCGAAATTGTGCTCAAGACAAAAAGCAGTTAAAGTTGATGTTGCCTTATAATATATCAGAGCAAAATCAGGATTCAAGTCACCTTCCTTAGGGAAAATACCAAATGATTTTTTCAATTTAATCCTCAGGGGAAAACAGGA